GTATATATATAACAATTAGAAAATACATTACTAATTTTAAAAAATGTCATCAGATTTAAACTCTATTTATTATTCATATTATTATCATTTGAATTATACAGAAACAAAATTCTATACCGGAAAATTTAGTTTAGTTGATCTTAAAGTTTAAATTATAATTTATTTAAAGTTTAGATTAAAGAAATTTAGCTTAGTTTAGTTTAGAGTTAGAGCAGAAAATGTTAAATACAAGAATATCGAAAAAGAATACAGGATGTTCCGTTATAAGAAACTTAAATATATATATTGTAAGACATTTTCTTGATATTGAATTGAAACGAAATATGTTCATTGGGCATCAAAAATTAATATTTAACTTCGAAAAAAAAACATTATTACAGACGAAGCATTGTCGAGTTTAAGCAGAGAAAATAACAAAATAAAACTTTTGAAAAAAATAATGTTTTTTTTCTTCGTATTTAGTTTGAATGTATCTTATAGTTTAATTTTCAAATAAACTACTGAACATTTTTTGATGTATTCGTACTGACATCCTTGTTTAGTTCATCCCAAACGAGTTCGAACAGATCAGGTGCCTGTGGTGACTCCTCAGATTGAAACAAAAAAGTTTAAATAAATTCGTCAGTCCATAACATCCCTTACCACTGTTTTTGGGACAAATTTTTATTATTTTTTATTCAAGTGCACTACATTTACTGTTTTCAGCTAAAATAAGTGGTTTCTTTTCCTCAATACAATCCACAAACCTGCAATGGTACACTGTTAGAAATTCCATTCTGAAATTACTCGAAAATAAATGGCAGCAACCTGTCCATCAAATTAACCTTAAAGTTAATGGTAAAAATATTTTTTAAACCATTAACCAGAATTCTTTCAAAACCGTAAAAAAGAAACTTATTGGAGTTAGACTTTTCGTTGAAAGGCATAGGAGTTAGGGTGTGGTTCATCAAGAGGATATATTGCGGCGGTGAGTTGACAGATTAACCCTCTCTGCTATAGTATGTAGCAAGCTGCTCTATTGGGTGGGCATTGCTGAATCGATGAAATTCTGGTTGTTTAACCGCTTTAGGCAATAGCAGTAGAAAAACGCTTTTTCTCGCAGTTAACAGTTTGAATTATAATTATTATAATTTTATTATTATATTTATAATTATTTGATTGATTTGTTTGAAAATAGTAAAAAACTATTAAACAGAATGCTATTTAACCGCTTCGAATCAGAATTTTCTAACAGTGTAGCTGATCTGCCGTTTAGAAATTTCTTGAACAAAAAAATAAGATTGTGTTCAAACATTTGACAAACACTGTGCGCTATCATTTTAAGCACAAAGAGTACGATTTAGCCAATATTCAATAAATAACTATTTTCATACAGTTAATTTTCTTTTTTAATGCTTTAAACTATTCTAGTTGTAAATGGTTTAAAAACCGTAAAGATAAAAATGTTTTATTGCATAAACTTTACGGTTTATTGGATGGACAGATTGCTGCCGGTCATTAGACAATAGTAAATTTTAGAATGTAGATTATAACAGTGTAGCATTGCAGGTTTGTGCGTACTATTGTGGAAAGGGAACCACTTATGCTTTAAATGAAAGTATACTTTAATAAAAACCATAAACATTTAAAAAAACAACAATGATAAGGGGTCTTCTGGATTGCCCATTTTGTTTAAATTTATTTTTTCCAATCGGAGTAGTCAGCACAGTTACGAACTCGTCTGGGATGAACTAAACAAAGATGTCAGTACGAATACCTCAAAAAAAGTTACTAGTTTATTTGAAAATTAAAAGGTATATTCTAACTAAATACGAAAACATTTCAGTCCCACTTGATAATTACGTAAAATTTTTAAATAATGGCTAGATTATCTGACTTCATTATAAATTTTCTCTTTGAGCATAATCCCAAAATTACGCCCAAACATTAATGATATTCGCATTTTTATTTATTTCGTATTTTATTTTGAGTCTTTAACATAAGAAAGGGTATATGTCTAATAAAATTGCATGAAATGTCAAATCTCAAAAAAATAATCTCTTCATTGTAATCAACAAGAGATTATTTTTTTTGTAAGAAACGAAAACATGCATGATATTCGTATAAGGCTTATATAACGATGTTACGAAATTTATTGAAAATCTTGTCATATAATATTCATTGGAGGCTTAGTTTATGTTAGCCGTATTTTTATTTATTTCGCATTTAATTTTGAGTGTTTAACATAAGAAAGGGTATATGTCTAATTAAATTACATGAATTATCAAATCTGAAAAAAATAATCTTTTATAATCTTAATAAACAAGGCTGAACAAACACTGACATTAGTATAAAACAGCTCCTACTCCTGATATTAGATGATTATTTTGAAAGTCTTGCATTTGTGTAAGTACTGTATCTTTTCTTAAGTCATATTTTTCATTCTAAGATTAACTTTGAGCATTTTGTCTGTCTCTTTAATTTTATAAAGTATTTTAAATGGCCTTTTCTTCTTTTTCTTCGCAGTTAATACATGATTTTAAGTTGTCCGTGTAAAGTTTAACAATAAGATATGCATGTTAAATTATTCCATTGCCCATATGGACAATAGCAAAATTACTCATCTCATCTAGTTAGTCCTTGATTGCATCAAAAACCACTAGACATTAAATTAATTACGATATTTAAGTACCAATATAGATATCTTATTATATTATGCATGCTTATGTTTATTATTTTTAATTAAATGATTAATTAAACTGAAAATCACTTAGTTAAAAAGTTAATTTTAGTCATTAGATTCTTCATAAGGTAAATCTAGAAGAGTCTTCGCAGAAAATCAATATTATATATTAATTACGAATTTTTGTTTTACTTATTTCTGGATCATAAATAATTAATGCAATCACTCATAACTTATTGCAAAATGGATATACATAATATTCAAAGTAAATTTTATTATTTTTATGAAATTATTATTATTTTTATTATTTTATTATTATTTTTATTATTTTATTATTATTTTTATTTAAATGAATTATTATTTTTATTTAAATGAGACTAATTTAATTTTTTGTAGCATATGAAAATCTTTCTAAACACATGATTCATTGTAAAAAAATCAAAATAAATAGAAACCTAAAAATTATTGTTGAATTCATTGAAGCTATTAAAATATAATAAATATACTTATATAACAGTCACAATTTAATATATTAATAATAACTAAAAAGTAAACTAAATGTATTACTAAACGAAGCATTTTAAATTTATTTATTTACTGATAATAAGCTTGCAAAAAAGTAAAAGTTCTACAGTTCCTGTGAAAAGTTATGGGAGTGAAACTGAAATCAATTATAATTATAAATTTCGTATGAAGTCATTTAAATGAGACTAATTTAGTTTTTTGTAGCATATAAAAACATGAAAATCTTAATAAACTCATGATTCATTGTAAAAAAATCAAAATAAGTAGAAACCTGAAAATCATAGTAAGAATTCATTTAAAAATAAAAATAATAATTAACATTTCTATAAATAGTAA